TTTTTTTTTTTTTTTTTTTTTCCAAATGATGTTTTAAGTTGTAATGCTGAGGGACTTTAGATATGAGGATGTCTGTACAGGCTGGTTTGGTTACCTGGAAAACTAATATTTTTCCACTTTGTTTCTTGATTGAGCTTCTTGGTTGTTATTATTTAACATTTGTTTTCTGCTTTGTTAAAACAGTGAATTTTCGCTGCTGGTTTTATCTGAAGATGTAATCTATCTGAGATGAATTTGTGGTCTTTTCGATTTGGTGTTACTTTTTTTCGTTTTTTTGTCAACGGTTTGGTGTTACTTAGTGTGTGGAAAATAAGACAAATTTTGAGATGTGGAAGGATATGAAATAAAAAGTGGAATAATTATTGTTGATTTATATAAAATAATAAAATATTAATTGATTAGAATGGTAGTTAGAATATGTATGGGTAGATCGATATTATTTTTTAACGGAAGTATATATTAATTATTGCTTTCTATCTTTTAATTGCGTTAGTTGTTAAGGAGGTGATTATTTACCCAAAAGCGTTTGGATGAGATGACTTGTGTCTCTTCCAGCTTAACTAGTGATATAGGGTTCAAGCTCTGGGAATGCAACAGTGTTAAAACTCTTGAGGGGGGGAGTTTTGCCGCCCTTGTGGTCCTACCAGGCTCGATTCCGGATTAGTCGGTTCTCCTGTGGATACAGAAACCGGAATGACCATGTACAAAAAAAAGGAGGTGATTATTTATTAATTTAATTAAAAAAAATCATTCAAAACTTAAATTTAATTCAACTTTAATTCGACACCAATATCCTCAATATTATAAATATAATAATATCAATCAATCATTCACATCACATCAATTTTAATTCACTATTCATCCACTCACATTATTTTAACTATCATTTTCAATCATTTTTCTCTTACTTTACATCAAATCAATTTTATTATTTTATTTAAAAATTATTTTAATATATCTACTAACAACTAACTATACATTTTTTTTTAAAATTAACTATAATTGAAAAACAAACTAAATAAAAACTAGTTGAATCCATAAATCATCACTCCCTAATCGATTTGTAAAGGAAATATAAAATAATGATTGTGGGCTTATGCCGGGCAATTTATATATTTATTAATAAAAAATAATAAGTGGACAAAAAATAAAATAAAAAGGGGCAGTGGACCCACATAGAAAACACATATTTACAAAAAAACATTTTCTGTATAAATTAAACAAAAAACGTATTTACTAAATATGTTTTTTACATTTTTTTTTACAAATAAAAATGTATTCACGGAATACGTTTTCTAAATAAATTTTTCAAAAGCCGTATTACACAAATACGGGCTTTTGATTACTTTCCACCCACTTTTTCTTTTTTTTTTTGGTCCACCGCTTAATTTTTTTTTTTCTCGTAAAAAATTCGGCTTATGCCATATGGCGATAACATCAAATCTCGACCAACTTCTTCCATCACAAGCTCAAATAGGCATCGTCTATTCCAAACAACAATAAACATAGTCCAACAATTTCTCTCTCACAACTTCTAGGGATATGTTCTTCATAACTTCTTCGCTCATGGCAAATGGATCTTCATCCCACGGTCTTTTTACTGCCTAAGCATATATAAGATTAGAAAAACACTAGTGGAGCCTTTGGGGTATTAATTTCTCCATGTTACGCAAAGTCAAATTATATGCGTTGTGGTGAACACATTTGAAATCAGTAAAATTTTAATTCAACGGAGCAAAAAAGAAAGAGAGATCAACTATTGATAGTTGCAGAGAGAACACGTTCTCCAAAAACTAATCATAGATAGTCTCTCAAATTGTTATAAACACTAGAAATTTATGTACATGCAAAACAATTTTGACACAGCTTGTTGCAAAGCTTCTAGGTCAAAGCATAATTAAGTAATTAACAAGAAGACATGTGCATTTTGTGCCAGATTAAGCAGTAACAAACAACAAAAGAGCATTCAGAGATACCGCGTAAGATGGAGGTGTCAGTGTCAGCTTTTCAACCATACCTGCTCAATTAAATACTGAGTAAGGTCTTTGATCCCAGCACCCTTCAATCCTGAGACCATGAAGAACCTACCCACCGATGTCAGGCACTGCTGTGGTCAATTGATATTTATATATATATATATATATATATATATATATGTAGAGAGAGAGAGAGAG